CAGACCATTTATTTTCTATTAACAGGATTCTTCCTACCTCCTGTCCCTGGCATAGTATCTTCAAGATGTATATTTTATCGATTACAGTATATTCTTTTGCTTATCTCTTCCCAAGACACAGAACTTCCCTTTTTCTTGAGATGTAAATTAAGCCTTTCTTGAACTAATCTCTCCCCAAAACACAGATCTTCCCTTCCAGTCACCAACCTAGGAATTGTGGAACCCACCGATAACCTACAAGACCCGCTTCTACATGTCCCGACTTTTTGGGCTAGACCAATGGAAAAACTTTTCATTAATTGTTGTCTGTCAATCTCAAAAACAAATAAAAGGAACTTCTCTGTACATGATCACCCCGAGAAAGGCATGTATGCCTCTTCTCTGGGCCTAGGTCACTCACATTTGGCTTGGAAATAAACCACATTAATTATTAATTATTAATTTTACAGTTGGTTATTTTTTCTGTCGACAGTTCCCCTTTTCCTGTGCACTCAGAGCTTGGCTATCCTCACAAATGGATGGAGGCCAGAAAATGCCCACACCCCTCTGTTCTCTCCCTGTGACCATCTCGGAGGGAGAATTCAGCGTGGCTTTGGTTAAGATGATAAACATAACTAGGTGGGATGAGAAGAGTGAGAGTTTCAAGTAGGAGTCACTCTCGCCCCAGATCTGGGACTTCGGCTAGTTAGGCTCTGCAGAACCCTGGAGGGGAGCTAGCTGACTGCCCCTCTGCATACCTAGCTAACTGGGTCCTGGTCCCTGGAGAAGCTGCACCCGAGTGCTATGGCGTGCCATGGCGACAGTGTCCCCATCTCCGTGCCCCAAGGAACGGTGAACCACAGGTGGCAGGAGGTTTGGGAGCCAGACCCCTGGGCTTTCTTGCAGGGCCACTTTGTTGTCTTGGTGACAGTCATAGCTGAGCTGTGCTGTTTTGTCTTCACCCCTGGCAAAGGGTTAGTCACACCCTGCCTGGGAAGGGCTGGCGAGGCCACAGTTCAAGGGAGAGGAAATGCCAGAGGCCACAGAGGAGGGAGGAGCCAGGTACTGAGAGAAAAGCTAACCTCTGGTAAGTCAGGAAGTGAGGAATCAAAAATAAGGAAGTGCTCGAGGAACCACAGGATGGGGGCTTGTCAAAGGGGGACAGGGACTGACCCCAAGGAGCAGCCATGGCCAAGCAGGAACAATTGGAGCAATACGGTAAATAACGCAGTATTGGATTATTGCCCCAAATATAAAACAGACATATATGTGTCCATGTGACAGACAGACATATCTGAACGAATAAGTGAATGTGGAGGAGAAAGACGTTTTCCTTTGCCAGGAGTTCCTTTGACAAGTGTAGGTGTTCCTCCTCTTGGGGGTGGAGCTTAGTTCCCCTCTCGCCCATGTGGGTGGACTTGACTCAGTAACTGGATTCCAAGGAGGAGCGTTTGGGAAGGGAGAAACAGTAACGTTATGTTGGAGAACCCTGCACACACGGTCTTACCCACGTGCTGCCGTGTAAACACCATGTGCATTTATGAACCCCTGCATGAGGCAATGAGAGGGGCCCCGTCTCTGTGGCATTCTTCCCCCAAACTCATAGCCTCAATCTAGTCATGAGGAAATACCAGCTACACCCAAATGAAGGGATATTTTACAACATATCTGACCATCAAGGTAATTAATGTGGTTTATTTCCAAGCCAACTGTGAGTGACCTAGGCCCGGAGAAGAGGCATACATGTAAACTGCATTAATTATTAATTATTAATTTTACAGTTGGTTATATTTTTTTCCGTCGACAAAGGTTGTGGAAAAATAAAAAAGAAAACCTGAAAAACTGTCCAAGATGGAAAAGCCACACAAGACATGACTAAATGCAGTGTGGGATTTGGAGTGGATCCCGGAGGAGAAGAGGACATTAATGGGAAAACCCAGGGAAATCCACATGAACTGGAGTTTAGTTAACAAAAATGTCCCAGTATTTGCTGCTTTTTTTTTTTTTTTTTTCATGACCAGGTAGGCTTTATTCCAGGAATGCAAGGGTAGATCAGCATATGCAAGACCATAAATATAATACACCATGTTAACAGAAAGAAAGATAAAAACCATATGATGATTTCAATCGATGCAGAGAATGCATTTGATAAAATACAATTTCCCTTCATGATTTAGATTCTTACCAAGATTGGTATAGAAGAGTCATTCCTCAACACAATAAAATCCATATATAAGAAACCTATTGCTGACATTATACTTAATGGGGGAAAGCTAAAAGCTTTTCACTAAAACCTGGTACTAGACAAGGCTGCCCACTTTTTTTTTTTTTTAATTTAAATGTATTTGTTTACGTTCATTCACTGTACATCATTACAGCATACAAAATGAGATTTTCCATCCAGAGTACACTGTATATTGTCTCAATCAAGCACATCAACA